TGAGCCACATCCCCAGCCCTTAAATTTTTTTTTTCTTTTTTTTTAAATTTCAAGACAAGGTCTTGCTAAATTGTTGTAGCTGGACTTAAACTTATGATTTTCCCACCTCAGCCTCCTGAGTCACTGGGATTATCTGTGATAGTTTTGTTTTTATAAGCACTAAATTCACAATTAATGATGTATGTGCCACCATGTCTGGCTTTGGCTCTTTTATTTTAATCATTTCTATTTCTTTCAAGATTTCCTTTTTATCAATTGCAGAATATTTTCCTTTACTTCACTGATGATAATTGTAATATCTGCTTTAACAATCTTGTCTGATAATTCCAGTATCAGAATTTTCTTGGGGTTGGTCTTAGTTGATTTGTTTTTTCTCTTGAGAATATTTTCCATTTTCCTGGTTTTTCATATACTGTGTAAATTTGACTGTATCCTAGATATTACAAATGTTAAATTATGGAAACTCTGGATTCTGCTCTCCAATGAGTGTTTATATTTTTGTAGTGTGGGGGATAGAACCCATGGTCTAGTCTGTGCTAGGCAAGTGTTCTACTACTGAGTTACACCCCAACCCCTGTTTTTGTTTTTTAAGCAGAAAATTATATTGCTTGTTTTAGAGTTTAGCTGGAGATGTAGACAGAATTTGGGAATCCCCTTTCTGAATCTTTCCCTTCTAGGATTGCCCTTTTTCATCCTGTGGCTATAGTTTTCCCCAGATTTCATCTTCTGGTTACCCAGATCAGGCATTCTGTGATTTCTCTGTTAGGGCCCCTAATGTATTGCATGCCTTCACAACTAACCTTTGAACCTTGTCTCTAGGTTAAGCAAAGAGGATGGGAACACACTTTGTATACTATCTCTGCTCTAAGCACGATTCCCCTTAATATTCTACCTGCTAGGTGTAGAGGTGCATGCCTGTAATCCTAGCAACCTGGGAGGTTGAGGCAGGAGGACTGCAAGTTTGAGGCCTACCTGGGTTAATTTAGTGAGATTCTGCCTCAAAAACAAAAAAGCAAAGCAAAACAAAAAAAGGGCTGGAGGTGTAGCTTAGTGGTAAAGCACACCTGAATTCAACTCCTAGTACTGAAAAAACAAAATCAAAAACAAAAAACCTCCCTGCTTCTAATTGCTTTCCAAGGGTTTCAGATAGATGCTCATTATATTATGTCCAGATTTTTTCTTCCTGGTAGCTGGGATTGAACACAGGTACTTTATCACTGAGCTATATCCCCAGCCCTTTTTACTTTTTATTTTGAGCCAGGGTCTTGCTAAATTGCTGAGGATCTCACTAAATTGCTGGGATTAGCCTCAATCTTGTGAGATTCTTGTATGAGACTCCTGAGTTGATGGGATTATAGGCATATGCCACCACATTCAGCTACTTTTTAAAATCACTGAGGCTGGCCCCAAACTTGTGATTCTCCTGCCTCAGCCTCCTAAACATCATGTTCCATTGTGCTCAGCTTTATGGACTGACTTTATGGATGTATCTGAAGGTGGGCCAGTGTGATAGGTTAGTGCTCAATATTAATGCCCCAATTATTGTTTTTGGAAGAAATTTATAAAAATAGATGTTCTAAATATTTACAATGCATAGAATAAACAAACAAGTCACTTGCAAAGATCAAGTTTGTGAAAAGCAGGTGGTTAAGCACCCTTTCCTCATTCTGTTGCTTATGCTCCTTTCTCTGTGTTGAGAAAGCCTATTTTTAACATTTAGACCAACACAAAGTGCTGGCCTGGACATGTCTCCTTTCCTGGGTATTCCTAGTAAGCTTATATTTCAGCAAGGGTACGGTAAAAAATGGGCTTAAAAAAGAGTTCCTTCTTGTTTTTTTTTTTAATTTATTTTTTAGTTGTAGATGGACACAACACCTTTATTTTATTTATTTATATTTTTACGTGGTGCTGAGAATTGAACCCAGTGCCTCACACATGCCAGGCAAGTGCTCTACCACTGAGCCACAACCCTAGCCCGCCTTCTAGTTTTTAACAAAGCTTTAGACTTTATTAAAAAAAAAAAGAGAGAGAGAGAGAGAGATGGCTCATAAAGCTAAAACAAAGCTAAGCAGAGAAGAGGTTTTTCAGTAAGAAAGTGAGTGTAGTGTTTTCTTCCAATATGAATACTGTATTGATCGTGTAAAACTCTGGCTACTTTGAAATGGGAAAGAAGGGAAAAAAAGACCTCATGAGTCGGGTTGGTGATATCTTCCTTCTTGGTTCCAATCTATCTGCTATACTGCTCTTTCCAGTTGCCATAACCACAGAGGTCCCTTTGCCGGCACAGCCACAAACAACAGAGAATTCACTGAAACCAGGTATTATCTTTTGGCACTCCATAGCTTAAGAGATAGTGATTAGAAGGAAATAAAAAACATAAAACTTCATCAACAAAGCAGCATTTTCTTTTCAGCTGTTCCTGGGGGCAAGACAGAGCTGTGAAGAGAAATCCCAGATTGAAAGCTTTGTGGTTATCTCCGCTTTTCATTAAAGTGCCCCTGATTATAATCACACCTACGATTACAAGATTTAACACACCTGGTCTCAAGGACGCACTAGGAAGAGGAATCATACATTCATCCCACCCCATTTCCTTTTCTTTATTCACTGAGTAAGCACAATTTATAAGTTTCAGTGAGTGTAAACTGCAGATGGTTTGGAGAATACAAGAGAGGTTTTCCATTCACATGGCATTTGGAAGGTGACAAAAATCCTCCATGGTCACAAATTATTTTAGTAGTGGTGAGACAAGCAGTGTTGCTTTCAATGGCTACACACAGATGTGAGAAATCTGGAGTTTCTATTTCTTCTCTCACTTTGCTAGCCAGATATTTTACTCTATGCACATGTATTTTTCCTCCGTCTCCCTCTCTCTCCCTCTCTTGTTCTCACTCAGTAAGGATGTATGCACTTATGGAATTTGTCGTGGTTACCAGGGATTGAACCCAACTAGGGTTATATCCCTAGTCCCACAGTTTTGTATATTTCTTTTAATAATGCTGTGATTTAAACACATTTTTATTTTGAGATAATTTTAGACTTAAAGAAGTTGCAAAGATAGTATAGAGACCCTGTATTTTCCTCACTTGATCTTCCCAGTTGTTAACAGTTTACATAACAATGTTATATTAGCTAAGAGTTTCAGAGATCTTAATAATGGATGAAAAACACTATTCTTTCTTAACTCCATCTTCTACAGCAAATTCTCAACAAGAGCTGTATGTACCCTGTTCATTTAATTATAAGAATTATTGGGGCTGGGGATGTGGCTCAAGTGGTAGCGCGCTCGACTGGCATGCGTGGGGCGCTGGGTCCGATCCTCTGCACCACATAAAAATAAAAGACGTTGTGTCCACTGAAAACTAAAAAATAAATATTAAAAAAATTCTCTCTCTCTCTCTTTAAAAAAAAAAAAAAGAATTATCAAGGTGTGATCCATACATCCTTGTCCTGATCAAAGTCCTAGATGACAAACTGAAGCCTCCAACCCCCAGGTGAGAGCTCCCAGTTTCTGAGTAATTCTACCTCTACAGAAGTTCCTATGAGTCAGATCATTCTTCCCCTTTCCCTATTGTGTCATTATTAGTCACCTTTCCAATATCCATTTCCTTGCTAAAGAAAATTGAATTTTGTTCAGAGCAGAGATGTCCCAGCTAAATTCATTGTCAGGCTCCCTCGTGGTGAGGAGTAATTATATGAGACAGTTTTGGAAATCACCTGGGGAGGTTCTAGGAAACCTATTCTAGTTCCCCAAAAAAGGATATAAAAGTGCCCTTCTCCTATCTTCCTTCTTATTTATTTTTATGGGCTACAATGGCCACAGCTGCAGCAACTATTCTGTCCCCACGAAACAAAGGCCGTGAAGATTATAGAAATATTGGCTCTATTGACATTGAGCTGCTAATGAACAGCACCTACCTACGTATTTTTTTATGAAATAAGAAAAACAAATCCTTACTTGTTTAGGCCATTGTATTGGAGTTTTTATAATTTGTAGTTGAACATATTCACACCAGATAAACTCATTCAATACAAACCTTAACCTACACAAGGCAGAAGGGAGAGAAATGCAGCTGAGGATAAAGATCAGGGGAGTGTTTATTTGGAAATTCAGTGGTCTGAGCTGAAACAACAGTAAGTAGACAGTTACAGAGAAAATGTGCCTGTGTAGGAAAGAAAGGAGGATAACTAATGAGTTCATGCTTTTACAAACAGGCATCAGGCATTTGATATGGTAAAATTCTATCATGAATAAAGGCTTTGTTTGTGACAAAACAATCACTCTTATAATGGCTTCCCCAACACTTGGTTAAATACTGTTGTGCAAGCCACAGAAATGCATTGTGGATGCCAGGAAGTGAATTATTAATGTAAACATTGTAACTGAAATCAACTAGGAATGAGTTTCCATTAAAATCAAGAAGAAAATTAATTTTGAGGTAACTCAGTTGTAGCACACATATGGATATATAAACTTCCTTCCTGTATTGGTCGTGCACTGGGGAGAAACCCAGCCAAACCCACTTGAAGAAGGAAGAAAGTTTAATTTATGCAGCAATGAAAATCTCATGGCCTGAACTTAAAGCTAGAAAGGAAACATCTTAAATTAAGCCCTTCAGTAGTTCAGCATGAACAATGAAATATGCCAGGAAGACAAGTCACTGAAGTTCAGGCTGCAGAGGCAGGGTTAATGTGTTCCAGCCAGCTCACCTTGGAACCCGCCCCCATGAGGAGAATGCCAGGATTCAGGGCCTCAGTCTGTAAACTCATGCTCTGTTTTTTCTGCAGGAGTTACTGGGTTTGCCCAACATATTACATAGGAAACAGAAATTCTTTACTGAAGATGCAAACCATACCTGCTACAAAATTCTTATTGACTAATTCAACAGGGATTCAAGAGTCCATCTAGAGAAAAAGCTTGAGACTGCCTTTGTAAAAGGAAGACTGAAGACAGAAAATAAAGAGGTGGGGAAGTTACACACAACCACAAACTGACTTACCTCAGTAGCTTTCTGACTGAGTCCCCGAAGCAGCAGCACGATCACGTGGATGGCAGCTCTGCGCACTTGAACTTCATGGTCAGTTTTAGCCACAGCAATCAGGCAAGTTGTCACCTAGGAGGGTGAGGGAAGAAGTCAGTGAAAACCAGGATTGCACAATTACCTGTAGCTTTTCAACTGTGCTGTACTTACTACACATTCATCAAGAGCAATCTAGCTTAGAGAGGGATGGATTAGTTTCCTCAGCTTTAATAAAGAAGCTGAGATCTGGTGGTAGAGGTCTTTCTGGGCTCAGTTGCTTTCAAAGACAGTTGTATAACAGAAAAGGAAGTACTTACAAAACATGGTGCCACATACATAGCTAATAATTACGTGTGTCATAAAATGGACAGTTTCTATACTTTGTACCAACCACTTTATCACTGCTTAGCTCCTTGTAAACATAAAAAATATTCTAAAATTTCAACAAAGAGACACCACTAACAACAATAATAACAATAAACACAACAACAAACTTTTCCAAGGTACTCATATAAGATTTAAAAAGAAAAAGCACAACTTTTGTAATTATGACTGATGTAGCAACTAAAGGTATGTCTAAATTATTCAGCTGGTCCCTCAGATACTTTGGTTACTGGATTTACTGTGTGCATGTATTTCTTGGCTATCAGTAGAGGTATTTTTAACCATGACAAGAAAATAGCCAGATTGTGTGTTTGGAAATGCATATAAATAAATATTATGTTTAAAGAATAGTGAATACAGGCACAAATGAGGGAATAGGCTTGTACAGAAATTTTCACTATGCAGGTTGTATTTTTCACAGCTTTCAAACAGTTGGGCATAGTTCAAAGTACCTAATTAATCAGTGGTGGCAAAGAGATTAGAAGAAATAGCTTGTTCTTAAATACAATTGCATCTGTGATGCACTGGCATTTAATTAAATTGTGCATCTATTAGACAAACCTGCAGTTTCCAAGGAAAGAGAAACTCCAGAAAACTCAATTTGTTGGGGGCTATTTTCCAATAAGACCCAGTAAACTGCTTCTGCCTTTGACCTGGGACCCCAAACCTAAGGCTTAGCAGCAGCATCTAAGCCTCTGGCATTAACGGTAGAAGCAATTAGGTCCTCAGAGGAATTCCTTGGGTCACCTCCAAACAGGCAACAATATAATAGCTACCTCCACTTTCAGGCTTAGTATTTACAAGGTAAGAGCTGAAGTCAGAGAAACAAGTTAGAGCTAGGTCAGAGACCTTCTTGATACACTAAAGTTTAACTTATTCTGTCTGATAACTAATGTAAGAAAGCCAGCCTAAGATCACATCACAGAGGCTCCCAAGTGTTTGCCTGTTTACCTTAGGTCCATGATTCCACATTTGGCAGACCAAGGCTTCCTAATCTAGAACCCTGCTGTGTCTGTCTTTGCCTCCTCTGTTTGGCCTCTCTATGTTGAGTGGGACATGCCTCTGCCTAGGCTCTCAGTATAAAGCTAGCTCTGACTGTGACACATTAATTCCACAATTGGAATATCCAGGCAAAAGTGTCCTGGTTGGCAAAGGGCTTTCCCTTGAAGGCCAATTCTTGATCCCTGTAGCATCTTGAAGGTACAGGGGAGAGAGGAGCTGGTAATTATAGGCCTTGCTGAAGTCAGCTAGAATGGCCTCCTGCTTGCTACAGGCTGCCAGTGACTAATGTGCCAGACTGTAAAAAGCCCAACTACAATGAAATATCTTGGACAATCCGGAAGAGGCCAGAGAATGGAAGAGATTCATGAACCTTCCTCAAACCTCTGCCACCAGGACCAAGTCCTATGAAATATGCAAGTGTTGCTCAGGTAAAGTGTCTTTTGGACATCAGGATTTTAATATGGTCTTGCAGATATCTCTAGAGTAAGAATAGCCTCCTTCTTTTCCAATACTCATGCCAGCTCATATCTGCTTTCCTGCATGTGAGGTCTGTAAGAGAGACCTCCTTTTCTAACACTAGAAGCAGGAAGAATGCCAGACTGCTCTCTTCCATCTATCCAGTAGGAATGAGTCACTTCACAGCTAGTCTCTCACCTCCAGCTCCAAGGGCATACTCAACACTGCCTTCCACTCCTAAAAGCCTTGGTGAATGATAGGCAGATGATGTAAGGTCTTTACTAATTTATAAACTGGTGTAATATTTCCATTCTCTGTTTCTAAGTCCTCCCAGATGGCAGAATCTGATTCTATGTGATCTTCATGACACTTTCCCTAAGGGTCAATGTACCTAATCTAATAAGTGATATTATGGAAGGCTTTCTCTTCACTGGGTAAATCATATAAATCATATCCACTTCTGAAATCCACATAGACAGAAAGATGATGGCTGCTTTGGAAACATTAAAGGTCAGCTTAAGCAATTTAACACTTCACAGGAGCCAACAGAAATAAGGAAAAGCATCACTCCCAAAACAGCTGGCACACACCAAGCATAATCAGAACTATAAAAATAAAGATAATACAAATGGCAAGATTACCCATAGTGGCACCTGCTTGTAGTCCCAGCTACTTGGGAGGCTAAGGCAGGAGGATCATAAGTTTTATGCTAACCCCAGCAACTTAGTGAGACCCTGTCTTAAAATAAAATAAAAAGGGCTGGGGGGAAACTCAGTGGTAGAGTGCTTGCCTAATACTGAAGGCTGAGGGGAAACACTGCCACCACAACCACCACCACCACCACCACCACCAATACCAAATTACCCAAAACGGACTTTGGAAAATTCCAGGACAAGAACTAAGAAACCTTAATAGCAAAGGCAGTGTAATCAATAATTATTATGAGCTTTGCTTACTCAATCACTGCCAGGAAAGAAACTATAGTGTCTACTTGGGCTTTCTTGGAGTTTCCCATAACACCTGCCATTCCTCAGCTCAGGTATTGACAATCCTCAAACTGTGTGGGCCCTGTCATTTAGGAAACTACACCGAAGGTGGCAAAACTGGTAATAAATTTAGATCACATAGTGGGATCACAGTGGTAGCTTTGTATCAGACCACAAAGCTCAGGTATGTGGAATTTTAGGCACAGTATTAAAACCAGACTTCTCCATAAACTTGTCACCTGTGGCACATCTTATTTGTTGGATCGAGGACAGGTCTCTTACTACACTTCACTTAAATCATATTTACATGTTATAGAACGTGATAAAGATGAAAGCCCATTATGATTTGGTTTTAAGCAACACAGCACTTGGCAAGAATGAGAAGTTAGGGGAAAAAATAATGCTCCCTAAACAGGTTAAATTTTGACATCAACAAAGAAGAAAAACTTGAATTCCCAGTGTGAAGACTGTGGAAGGGGTGAGCCTGTACTTTTTGTTCCCTCCCTACCAACCAACACTATAGGGGCACAGACAGTGCCCACAGCTGAACCATTCAACATTAAGACAGCTCTCTTCTGATGCTCATGTGCTACACAGCTAGAGGAGGGGCCAACACCTTCAGATCAGATCATGTCAGAAAAGACTGAGGTAGGTAGTTTGTCAAACTTTATATCAAAAAAGATCATGCTTCTCATCCTCATCTTCCTATCTAACACCTGATCGATGTAACCTTCCTAATACCCTGGCATGCTAACTTAGGGTCCCAGCTCTGTGTTTCCTCAGCCGCTGGTGCTTGTTCTATTGCATAATTCTGGACCACTGTCCATTTCATATTCTACTGAGATTTCTTTAGGGGAAGAGACTAGGTCCATTATCTGTGCCCTCTAGTATTGCTGGAACATGATCAGTCTCACAAAGGAGCATTTCTTCAAGTTGCAGTCAAAGATGAGTTTCTTCAAAGTTAATGTGCCTTCTCCACCAGTGCACATTTGAGTTAGGTATTTCTGAGACTACAAAGCCTAAAGAGTTTTCATGAGACATTCAAAGAACTGTCATAGAAGAAGTCCCAGTAATCAAAAATAAGTTAGACCATTTCACTCCTTTGCTCTGGCTTCTCATCCTACTCACAAGAAAAGTCTGTACAAGGCACCATTTGGACGGGCCATACCTTTTTAAAAAAAATTTTTTTTTAGTTTAGTTGGACATGATACCTTTATTTTATTTATTCATTTATTTTTTATGTGGTGCTGAGAATCAAACCCAGAGCCTTGCATGTGCTAGGAGAGCACTCTACCGCTGGGCCCCAGCCCCACTGGCTACTACCTTTTTAATGCCAGCTCCTATGATTCTTTCTCTTGCCCTCTTCCCTCCAGGTATGCTGGCCTCGAAGTTCCCTGCCTCAAGGCTTCTGTGCTTTTTATCTGGAATGCTCTCTCCCCAGATATCTGATCACCCCCTTGCTTCCTTAGGTCTTTGCTCAAATGTCACTCATTGGTGAAACTTTTCTTGTCCCTCTGAGTCATGTACAACAAGCTCCCTTTGTGCCCATAATCTTATTAGATGTACCATCCCTGACATGGTATAGAACTGCTTACTTGTTTATTCCATATCTTTCCTCTCCAAAATGTTAAGGCCATGAGCACAGGGACTTTATTGTGTTCACAGCTGGGTCCTTAGCATTGCACACATGGCTTGGCTGTATGCCCAACTGGCACAGACCACATGCTCAATAAATATTTGTTGAATGAATAAACGAATGAAGAACTACTAAAGAGCCATGTCAAAAATCCCACTTTTTCTATGTGAATGGGCTAGAGCTTTCTGACTATAGGAGGAGTAATGGCGGAAATGCTAAAACTGGCACGCCTCCAAGCATGTTCAAACTTGCAGTCCATCCAAGGTAGCTGGTTTGGCACTGATGACAAGGCAAGCGTGGGATGCTACATAAGAAGGAACATTTAAAAAGAAGAGGCAGAAATTATATGGGATGGAAACATCTGGTTTTTCAAATCAGAGGGAATATACTGCCTTCTGAAGTTTCACTGCCAAAAGCAAGCTCTATTAAGGTAGAGCTACATGACCCTTCCTATCTGAAGCTTTTCTCATATGGCATGCTCTTCACTTTCAAAACACAAAAGCAATCTCACAAAGGAACTGAAAACACTTATTGAGAAACAATACAGAGGAGTAGGTATGAGTTCTAGAACTAACTGCTCACATTCAAACTCCAACCATGCCACCTGCGGCAACTTACTCAGTTTCTCTGTGACTCAGTTTCCTCTGTGAGGATTGGATCAGTTGACATATAAGGCACTCAGAAGAGTATTATGTCCTATTTTTTGCTTTTTATCTTTTTTAGGTATTGAGGATTAAATCTAGGGCCTCATACATGCTAGAAAAGTGTCTACTCCTGAGCTACATCTCCTGTTATTATGAGTATTCTTTAAACTTGTAGGAACTAGTCTTCCCAACCAGCTTTACCTTCCTCTTCATTTGATGCCAATCAGCTAACAAACCAAGCACTGCGATGTACTAGGGGGTACGAAAAGGTGAATAAAGAATAGTTCTGCCTTTGTTGTGCTTACAGTTTATTAATGACTGTGAAGACTCCTGGCAATGATACAGCAGAAACAGTCCAGGTATCTAGTAGTGAGGCAGAGATTCTGGACTGGGATGTGCCCAGCAGATACCTCCACAGCTCCAGTCCTCACCTGGAGGTGAACACTGAGACAAACAGGTCTGAGGATTGTGAATGGTGCTCTTTAAGTCAGCATTCATGGCAAGCAAATGGCCCTCTACCTATTTGCACTTCACTTCGGAAGATTATATAAGCAGTGCTTTATTCTTGCTGTGAGCCAGGAAGCCATGTAATAACAAAGCTCTTCATGACATGGCCCCTGCCTGCCTTTCTTGCCTTAGCTCTTGCTGACAACTAGCCCCACCCCAACTCCTCCACTCAACTTTCAGGATCTTCCCGTGGTCTCTTAAACACCCACCCCACCCTCACCCCCATGCCTTTGCACATGCTGCTCCCTCTGCTGAAATGCTCACCCTCACCTTCTTACCTAACTTGTTCTCCAGATTCAGCTCTTTCTCCAGGGAATCTCTGTCAATACTCAAATATGTCCCACCACTCACTCCATCAGCTGTCACTGTAATCACTGATCATTGTGTCTTCCACCAGGTTACCCATCCCCAGAAGAATGGGGTTGTAGTCCCAGCCCCCAACAATAGGCCTAACATATTTCAGATGTTGAGGGACACTGGTTACTCTCTTTTTCTCATTTCCTTGCTGCTCATCAAAATATGTTTACTCAACTGTCACCTTCCCAGAAAGGCTAGATACCTACTTAAAACTACCACCTCCCCAGCACCTAACACTACAATCCTGATCATCTTCTCCTGCTCTACTTCTTATCTAACATATTATATTGATTGATTGTGTATATTCCTTTATGTCCGTCTCTTCTCACTGGAATGGAAGCTCTACAAAGACAGGAACCACTGTCTATTTTGAAGAGCGAGATATCTTAGGTAATTAGAATACTGCTTGGCATGAAGTAGGCTCTCAGTAAAAATTGTTAAATAAATTATTACGTCAAGCATATATATCATCTCTAGATCCTTATAACAGTACTACACCATCAGTAATTCAATCCCATTTTTCAGATCAAGAAACCATGGTCAGAGTCTTAGAATCATTCACTCGAGTGAACATAGGTAAGTAGATTGTTGAGTTGGGCCTTCATTTATTACAATTCCCAAGAGAATCTGGCAATTTATTTTTCTTTCAATAATTCTGTAGGTTTCCAGAAAGATGACACTTTTTTTTCCTTTTTTTGGCAGGCTGGGTACTGGGGATTGAACCTAGCAGTGCTTTACTGCTGAGCCATCCCAAGCCCTTTTAAAATATATTATTTAGAGATAGGGTCTTGCTGAGTTGCTGAGGCTGTGTTTAGTCAACTGTCACCTTCCCAGAAAGGCTAGATAATTTGAATTTGCCATCCTCCTGCCTCAGCTTCCCAAGATTACAGGCATGGGCCAATACGCCTGGTTTAAGATGATACTTTTTGAATGTTAAAAATCTGCTCTAGATCAAATCAATCTTCTTATCAATCAAACCAAAAAATTTCTTCAAATTTCTGACAGCAAATCACATGCCACCAATATGCTATACTTCCCTTAAGACAGAGAAAGGGAAGACTCTAAGGATACAAAAAGAAAAAAAAAGTAATAAAAATAAAAATAAAATAAAGAAATAAGATCATGATGTTTGAATATTGTTCAGGATTGTTAGTTTTAGAAAATGTATGAATCAGGTCTGAACTGATTCATTTGGCACTTGTGACCAAAAAGGGCCAGAGCATTAGCCTGAGGTTTTTTTTTTTTTTTTTTTACAAAGAGTTTTTTTTTTTTTTTTTTTTTTACAAATAGAGATAAGACTCACACAGCCCAGAGACCTAGGGTAAAGGTCTAAAGCCTTTCTCAAGGTTTCTTCAATTCTGTTAGTTACCTCAGAATAAATCATCTAATAAATTTCTAGTGAATCATCTTTCATTGCTTAAGGTAAGTTGACTTCCTGTTATTTGTAACTAAGAGATTCTTACTAAAGGGTTGGAATATCCTTTGAAATGGTTAGGACCAAACTGTTTTGGATATCAGATATTTCTTTTGGATTTTGGAATGCTTGCATATACATAATGAGTTATCTTGGAAATTGGACCTGTGTCTAAACACAAAACTCATTTATGTTTCATGAATTTTATCCACATAGCCAAAAGGTAATTCTATATAATATTCTAAATAAATTTTTGCATAGAACAAAACTTTATGGTGTGGGGAATTTTCCAATTGTGGCATCATGTTGATGCTCCAAAAGTTCCAGATTTGTTTGGAGTGTCTGGGTTTGGAATTAGAGGTGGTCAACCAATACAGCTTTTAATATACATAATGAGATGAATAGAGACTAGGGAAGTTAATAGACTTACTCGTTCTATCTTACAGGGAGGCAGATCTGGAAAAAGAACACAAGTCTACTGACTCCCAATCTAAAAGAAGTATTAGAAGCACCTCATGGATCACAGGACCCAGCAGGAAGTCCAGATGTTGGCACAGTTCTCCCAGGTTGGCTAAGCTGCTGGCCCTGTGCATACCATCTGGATCTTTCACTCCTCTCAGGAAGGTGTGGATCAAAGGTTCTCTGTACTTTGAAACCATGTCCCCTGTAGAGAAAAGGAAGAAATCAAAATCTTTTGAAATAAATTTTCAACTCCTTATTCCAAGAACAGTGATATTAACATAATATACCAAAAGATGCTTATACTTTTCAAAGGATTTGGGCAACCATTAAAAATCATGCTCTGGAAAAATAATTCATGTTATGGTTTTGTGAACAAGCAAGCAGGATCCTAATTTTACCTTTAAAAAAATCTACATGTAGAGATAAAAAATGTGAAGAAGATATTCCCCATGAGGTTTTTTTTTCAAAGAGTCAGGATTCGGGGAACATTTTAAAATTCACATATATATAAAAGAAAATGTATGTATCATAAATACACAGCTTAATAAACCTTCACAAACCCTACACAACTACCATTTACTCATTGTCACACAAATAGCAAATGTGGCCTCCAGTTTAGACCCCAGTCATCAGCCCAGTATATTTCCTATACTATCACTGTTCAGATAAGCAAAATGAGGTGAAAGACAGGCACTTCCAGGAGAAGTAAAATTAATTCACTCACTTGACAAATATTTATTGAGAGGCCTAGTGAGTGCTAGGTTCTGTTTCAGATACTTCACATATGCCAGGATGCAGGAGGCAATGTTTCCTGTCCTTGTGGAGCCTACATTCCAGTTTAAATTATATAGTATATTACAGAGTCATAAATGCTATGGGGAGAAAAATAAAGCAGGTAAGGGAAATAGGGAATAATGGAGATGCAGACAGTCTTCAATTTTAAGGGGAGGCTTCACTAAATGGATATTTAGGCAGTCCAGGGGGTGAGGTGTCAGCTCTGTGGATATGAGGGAGGGGCATACAGGAACAGGGGCAAATAGGAGCAAGCCTGGCACACCTGAGGGACAGAGGAGGCACAAGATGAGGCTAGAGGAGTGGTGTAGGATTGGGGTATGGTGTGGATCTTGAAGGGCCTTGTAGGCCACTATAAGGACTTTGACTTTTTCTCTAAGTAAAACGAGAGGTCTTTGGAGGATTTTAAACAGAGAAGTACGAGATCACTCTGGCTGCAGTGTTGACAACATGCCGTGGGGCCTGTGTGTGTCTAGGATGAAGCAAGGGGCCAAGTTAGGAAGATAGATAGTGCAATAAGCTGCTGGAGAGGGGATGGTGTCTGGAACAGCAGAGATGGTCATGCACAGGGACTGGTTCCATTCTCAGCAATGCAAATAAAAAGTGTGGGGTGGGGCAGTCAAGACAGAAGTATATGCACTGTCATGGAAAGGACTCCTCACGACATTAAGTGAAAGAAATCAATAGAACCAGCATATTCTATTTATGTATGAGGAATACACACAACTTCTGTTACTATTAACAAACCAAACTTACAGATTTAAATATCTATATTAAATATACAAATGCATAGGGAAAAAAAACAGAAAGAATATACACTAAGAGGGCCTAAAGAATTTATCCAAGAGTAAAAAAGAGCTGGGATCAAATTTACGCTAATACCTAACTCCTATCATATATCCCATATTTTCAACTATAAGGAAAATCATATTCTACTTTGTTCATAGTACTTTCCATTTCTGATGCTAGGAAGGGGCTTGCTTATTCTGTGGTGTGAGATGTGGATCCAGAGTTAAGAGGTGTGTGTTTTTGTTTTGGCCTGTTGCCAACAAGCAGTGTGACCTCAGCCAATTCACTTTACCTCTCTGGACCAAGTGAAGATTAGTCATTTAGAAAGAAGATCTCTCTTGTCCCTTCAATTTTTAAGTGTGATCCAAGGGTGAGGAATCATTTAGTCATCAGGGGAATAAGATCTAGGAGACCCAGGAAAGAAGAAAGGCACATATTCATGAGCCCTGGGGCAAGGGTTTGATGTGGTTAAAAGAAGGTTCCTTGTTGGGAAGGAAGGCACAGAAAAATGAAAAAACTTTGGAAATCCATAAAGAAGGGAAATTACAGGTTGAAAGGGATAAGGACACATGAGAAACAAGTTAATGTTTAATAATATAGGCACTTAAAAATAAATGGCAAAAAAGGGACATACTAAATTTATTTTATTTTATTTTCCAGTACTGGGAATTGAACTCAGAGCAACTTTACCACTGAGCTGCATTCCTAGTCCTTTTCTTTCTTCCTTTCTTTCCTTTCCTTTTCTTCCTCCCTTCCTTCATTCCTTTCTTTCTTGAGACAGAGTCTCACTTGCCTATGGCCTTGCCAAGTTGCTAAGGCTAGCTTCAAACTTGTGATTCTCCTTCCTCAGTTACTCAAGTTGCTGAAATTACAGTATGTGCCAACACATGAGCCTAAATTAATTTATTATTATTATTTTTGGGGGGTGGCGCTATGGACAGAACCCAGGGCCTTGTGCATGCTAGGCAAGTTCTCTTCAACTGAGCTACATCACCAGCCTAATTTATTAATTTATCAAATATTTATTAAGTTGTACAATGTGCCAGATAGTGTCCTATGCTCCAGGAAACCAGTTATAAGCAAGACAGACACATGTCTCTTAAAGCTAATTAAAAAGACAAAACCAAAAAGCAAGCAAACAAACAAAAAACCCAAAAATTGATGAAGCAAAAAAAAAAAAAAAGAGGGAAATGTACCAAAATGGTGACACAGAGATACCTTTATTAGTAATGTTTGATCTGGTTTCTATTCTATTAATAACAGAGACAGTATTATCTTATTCACCCAGCTCCCAAAATGTAGTGTTCCTTTTTTGACTTCTTCTTCTGGTACCCTTCAGTCAGTCAGTTCGGTTACAATTATACACTCTTCATTTTTTTCCACAAAAGATTTGAGGCAACTCACAATAAGTAATATTGAAACCATGCATCATTAAAATAAATATTTTAAAAGCTATACGATGGGTGAGAGGAGTACAGACATTGTAAGCAAAGGATGGTTATTGCAAATGAACATAAAACTTATTTAGTAATTCCTAGTAGCTAAGACCAAAAGGCAACAGAAAACACAGGTCTCATTATCCAATAAAAGAAGGAACATCAATTCACTAGAAGAGAAAGAATTTAGGAAGAATACCAAGAGGTATCTCATTCATTCATCCAGCAAATCTTAGTTGGAGGAATGAATATTTTACCCATATTCTTGGTACTTGAGATAAGATAGCATGAATAAACAAATGGAGCTCCTATCTTCATGAAGCCTACTTTTAGTGGAGGAAAAAGACAAGAAACCATGGCTGTGAAGTAAAATATGGAAGGGGGCGGTTACTGAGAGCTGGAGGTGAGGGCTCTGATAAAAGTTCTCAGCACAGGAGACCTGAAGGAACAAGTCGCATGATGACCTGGGGGAAAGGAGAACAGTAGACAATAGACATTTATAATATTGTTGTTTCCTATATTGACTCATCATATAAGAGCATACCCATTATACTAACAAAACTACAAACTAATGTTCCATTTATGTCAATCCTGGCCCTACCTGAGCTGCTGCTGCTTCTTTTTTTTTTTTAATATTTACTTTTTACTCATAGGTATGTGTTGCTGAGGATAGAACCCAGGGCCTCGCACATGCTAGGTGAGCACTCTACCTCTGAGCCACAATCCCAGCCCCCCTACATGAGCTTCTTTTTTTTCCTTTTTTAAAAATATTTATTTATTAGTTTTAGGTGGATACAATATCTTTATTTTATTTTTATGTGGTGCTGAGAATCGAACCCAGTGCCTCATGCGTGCTAGGCTAGCGCGCTACCACTTGAGCCAAATCCCCAGCCTCCATGAGCTTCTTTATTCCTTTCAAAATGGGTGTCCATCCAACTGTACCGTCTACTAACCTGTACCCACACTGCACCTAAGAACCAGAAGGGCTAGCAAGAGGGTTGGCATCTCAACAGCTTACATTGTAGCTGCAGCCACTTGCTACCTTGTCTTCTAAGTACTAGACTGGAAGAGCTGAGTGCTCACTGCATCTACCTTGAATTTTTTAGCATCCTGCTATCCTGTTCTCTGCAGATTGGATCTCCTTTGGACTTCACGTACATACATGAGATCTGTCACATCCTTGTTCAAACTTCTTGTTATTTAGGGGACTTATAGCTTTGCCCCCATTTTCTGGGGCTCTGCTAGCTTCTGACTAATCTTTCCTCTTTACTCTGCTGTGTGGCTGGTGTCTACAGACTGTATTTACCCTAGTCCCAAGGAAGGAGCTCCCCTGACCAGGCTTCTATGGAAAATAAAACAAATGCACTTGGTCAAAGAGAAGGGATCCCAGGGCTGCGATTCAACAGGGGTACTGAATTTAAAAATCCTACATTAAAAGTTCGTAATTTGGCTCTAGGAATCCCTATATGTCAAATTTTGTTGTGTCTATCTCACTGGCATTCTCCCACTCTTCAAACAGCACTCTAACCTTTTACCACCCCTTTCTGTGATCCCAGCCATGATTTCTGTCGGTTTAAGCAAATCACGGCACACATGTCCCTTTGCCTTAACTCGTTTAGGGACGGACATGTGACCCAGTTCTGGACAATAAGGTATAACAGAAAGTCTCCTGCAAGACTGAGAAAAATCACACAAGGACACGTGAGTTAGGGTTGCCTTAGAGTTGTTATAACCAACTTGAAACCATAGGGGACTAGAGGATAATGTCTATAAATCGAGGTTGGCAGAGCAGTAAGATGAAAAGAATATGGGTCTCAAATGTCACTGAGTGGAACAATTACCTATCCTGGACTTTTTGTCAAATGTAATAATTCATTCCTTATTAAGCCAGTTGACTTGGGAATTTCTGTTATCTGCAGCCAAAAGCATTCTAACTGATGTATCATGAAAACTGAAATGATCCTTAAAGTTGTAGAACCCTTCTATGTCAGTTCTATGTCTACCAATACAAAAATACCAGAAAAGTTACCGAGTTTACTTTCCTTTTTTCTAATTACAATTTTTATTGGAACAATAACTTGGTATACAACAGGACTCTTACCACATCAGCGTATATACATATGACTTTCCCAAAGAGCTAAGTCATCTTTATACATCTGCTAACCTACTTAAAAAGAAAGAAAAA